AGCTCTAAACATGGACACGCGTGCAGTTGCTGTACTATATTAAAGCTTTAATTAGGATAAAACCGTATATTAAAAGCTAACATAAGCTCTTCAATAATATCCTCTGCTTCTCAATCAGACTCAAACTGATAAGCGATATTAACGAGCACATGCCGTTGAGGTGAGGGGCGGGACGTTTACGGTGTGGAATAAAGGTAAATTATGTGAAAAATAATGCGTTTTTTTCAAAACGAAGCATTAACACATGTTAGACTGCACCCCATAAACACAATCAAGCCTAGAAAAAAACCAGTGAACCACCCCTTTAAATAAAACAAACAATAACTGAAATAAAATCTAAAAAACGTAAACATACTTTTGAGTCCATATTCCAGTTAGTTGCGATAGTTAGTTTAATTTAATTTAAGTTGATGTACCAAAATAAATTATATAAAAAAATAATCAAAATTATATAGACATTTAAATATAAACCCCACAACCGGTATTAACAAAATTACTACAGAATTAACTAACCAAATTTAAAATGAAAATATGTAGATATAGATGAGATATAAAAATATAAACTAATTCAAAATATTAATAAAAACTATTGTAGTATCCGTTTTGAAATATACAGGGTGTGTATATGGAGCACATTTATGTACATCTTATTTTCTATAATTACATTGTGGCAGGCAATATTATTCGAAATATCGACATCATATTAGTCACCCTCCGCCCCGCTCCCTAGTTATTGATATCAGCGTCACTTGTTGACAAATGATTAGTCGACCACTAATGATGGACAAACATGTATTCTCTGACCCGATAAGTTTCATCTGCGCTGTTTTATTAATTGTTGATCTTAATACACACCCAGACAGATGTTTTTGGCTGTGGCATTTTGTCTTACTGTTTTCCAGAATTAACTTGACAGGCCTGAGTTTTAGAGAGACTTTATATACTAGCAAGTCTGGTGTGAAATGAAATTCAGAGCATTTTAAACACCAAAACTGCAGGGTATTGATCAGTTTTTTTGTGCCTGTCTCTGCTCTGCTTGCCACAAAATCAGATCCGCTCTACAGATTTCTACGCCAATTACCATTTCTAGATTCCCGTTGCATTCGACATCTTCTTAGTTTGCATGAGACACATCAGGTTTCAGAATGAAATCCATGCATTTTATTGAGCACAATCACAAGCCCGTCCGGTGCGTGCACTCATAAATATTCATGAGCGCTGCTCCTTCGCCTCTAGCGATTG